AAAAACATTGTGGTCAAATATCCCAACACACGAGATGTCACGAGATGCCAGTTTAATTACATTTGCTAAAAATCTCATATGCAAAATGCATTCAGCACGCTGGCAAGTCCTTAATTAAGAAAACAAAAAGAATGTGAGGGATACATTTTGCAAGCATGGAGGTGTCACTAATGGTAGAAAGCATGACTGGCTCTGCCGCTCTACAAGATTTCCTATGGAATCTTTTAAGAACAGATTAAAAAAGGACATGGGATTCCTTCTAAAAAGTGGATGCTATAGGTGTTAGCTATTTTATTCTTCTGATAGCACAATGGTAGCTATTACTATTTAGCAATTTCCTTAGCTCATCAGTAGGAATGATGATGTGAAGACCAGATAATTTGTGCTCAGAGTCTCCTATGCCAATTTCACAATATGCTGCACCATACGCAGGATGCAATGTCCATTCATTTCCCAGTTATAAAGATCCCTCAGGAAGACGGACCAATGGCCTGATCACAGCTTGGGAAATTAACTTGCAGTCCGGGCAGGTTTACTAGAGAGAGTGGGCCAGAGAAAGAAAAACAAGAAGGTGGATGGAAACTGATGCCAGTCTTCAACTCCAGCTAGTCTCAATGACTGTAGTGATGGGAAATTTCTGTAGCTGCTCTGCCTACTTTCTGTCCCACAGGTGAGAACTAACGTAAGGCCCAAATGTCGTGCATGATCTGGGCCTAAATGATTTCATTGAGCGTTGTGGGCGCTCAGCACCTCTCAGGATCAGGCAGCTCTGACTACGAATTCACACATTCACACTGCCATACGCACTCCTGGTGCAGCTTTCCAGCGTGGTCACTTAAAGAGTACTGCTAATTATAGCATGCCAGTGGGGGATTAGGACACTCTGTGAAGGCACGCGTACTGGAAAACTGGTCTGTATCATTGCTGCCCCACTCCTAGCATAGTCATTGACACCAGTACAAAATGGGTATGAATCTATATAAGGCACCTATATGTGCACATACACCCCATTACCATAGTGAGGCAAGGAAGTGCTGTTTACCCCATTTTGCATTTGGGAAACTAATGCACAGAAATGCTAAATAACTTGTCTGAGGTCACACAGAAACTCTGTGGTGGTGCAGGGGTTTGAACCCAGGTCTCCCACATCCTAGGCTAGTACCTTAACTATTGGCCAGGCCATCTTTCCTCTCTAGCACAATAGTAGCATTTTACATCCACTGTTCACTGGTGTAACTGACCACCCAAAATGCATGCAAACAGAAAATCAGGTCCAATATGTGTGTGTGTGTGTGTGTGTGTGTGTGTGTGTGTGTGTGTGTGTGTGTGTGTGTGAGAGAGAGAGAGAGAGAGAGAGAGAGAGA